AATAAGAGATATATATATATATATATATATATATATATATATATATGCTAACTAATAATTAAAAATTCAACTAACAATTAAATCATTCATGAACAAATTAATATAACAATAAATGTACAATTCAACCGTTAACTTCAAATATTAATTTTCAAGAGAAACTCAAACATATTTTTTAAAATGTACATTATGTACAGGAATTGTCTTCGTAATTATTTCTCTCGAGAAATAGTTAAAGGCACAATGTTCTTGATAAACAAATATAATCTTTTAGTTCGCATAATAAGTGTTCCACTCTGATACACATCATTTCTTAACATAGATTTAAATTTCTAAGTATCTTTTATTCTATTCTTATTTTATTTTTCTTTCACACCGAATTAAATCGAACCGAAGTAGAAAAAATTAATCCAACCAAATTAGTTTGGTTTAATATACAATGCATACTTTTCTAGAACCGAAAATCAAAAACCGAACATCCACCTCTACTCAAAAAATATATTAAAATTATATTGTCACATATCTTGTTATATCGTTGTATTTTTCGAATTAAGTATGACACACACAAAGTTGATGAAGTAGACAAACCAGCATAGTTTCAAATAGTGACAGCCGTGTAGAGGAGAGTAACAAAATATAACTTATGTTCATCGTCTTCTGACACTTGAACCATCTATCTTCCTCGCCAAAATATTTCATGTGTGTTGGAAGTTATATGGAATATACCTCATTACGAAAATCTGTACAAAATTATCATAGCTTGAGTTATGTCAGAGAAATATCCTTAAAGATATTTCACGTGTGTATTCTTCCTCAAAATTCAACAAACTTTTCTACCATAAAATTAGAAGTCAGAAACTAACAGAGTTTTCTTTCGAAAGAACAATATATATGAGGAAGATTTGTAACAGGACGTGTTTTTCTCTGTATAAGATGAAGATATCATCTTTGGTCCTTGTGAAAAGATTTAACAAATTAATTCCCATTTATATATATGAAGAACAAATGCAATTATGAACAATATAATGATTTATTTATTTGATCAAAATAAGATTGGAGAGCCTAAATATTTCCTCATTAACTATCCATTCAAGACTAATTAATGACATTAAAATGATGAAAAGATAACCCCGGATCAAGTTATTTTCTTGAGATACTAAAATATTTTTCCAACAGCGAAGTGTTTTCATTACTGAATGTAATTTGTGACGACTATCGGTAGTCACCACTAAAAAAGCACATTTTTTAATACTATTGAAGATATATTTTTTTTTTAAATATTTTGTAAAGTTTTTAGAATTCTATGGGGTAATATCTTCAATATTTTAGAGAGTTAGATATTTATAATAAAAGTTAGAATAGTATAGATATTGTTGTATCTTGAATCATTCTCTCACAAGTATAAAAAGGAATTATCTCACACATTTGTAAGCAATCTAATTCTAAACTTAATTCAAGAAGTTTTCTTCCATGATTAAGTTCTCCTATCCAAAATCTTCTTTTTACCTTAGTAGCAATTTTTTTTTTGTTTTACTTCAATTTTTCGATCCTAGTTAATGATATAAGATTTTTCTAATTGATATCGTTTTCCTGTTTTTTTCTACGTAATTTTCTCTATCAAAAGGATAATCATACGATGGATTCTGAATTTTATTTTAAGGCCAGAATAGTGGCAACTTCAACTAATTTTTTGAAAACCTAATTATAAACTCACTTCAAAATGGCTTTTTTGATAATCAATTTCTCCCATCCAGAATCTTCTTTTACATTCATAGTGATTTTTTCCTTTACATCCTAATTAATGAACTGAGTTTTTTTTTTCTAATTCCTTTACCTGCATTTTGTAATGGACTAGGAATGGAGTTACTTTGTATATCATTTCAAAACGATAATCATAATCATATGATGCCTCCTGAATTTATTTCAACACCAAATTAGTGGCAAAATCAATTGATTTCTCGATATCTATTTAAGCGATCGTGCTAATGGATTAGGAATGGAGTTATTTGACCTAACCAACTAATGTTGCCTAAACCATACTTTTTAAGAGAGCTAAAGTGATGATGAATTAAGGTTGCAACTTTTAGACATCAAAGCTCCAATAAAGACTCTTTTATATTTATGATTTTAATTTTGAAATATTTGTGTCGTTTAACTTTGAAGTAGTGAAGACTCTTAGTGTTCAGGGTTCTGTTTGGAAAAATCAAAAGCAAATGAATCGGTTTTAAAATTTCTAAAACCAAACAAAAAAAATTGTCATTTTGGTTCGATTTGGTTCATCTTTTTTAATTTTTTTTCGCTTCCATAGTAATAAGTTTGTTGAGAACATTTACATCTCAATACACACGAACACCTAGCTAATACATGAATAATTAACAAAAAATTACACAAATAAAGTGATTCATCCAATGTACAAAGTCTCACAAACTAAAAAAACGCATTGTTAATAGTATAAAGTTGGTTTAATATCCTGGAGATCTCAACATCTTATCAATGGACATTTCAATAAAATTACACCTTAAAATGTTGAGAAATTACTTCTAAAAAAAATAATATTTCATAGTCAAAACTAATCAAGTACCATCTTCTTTAGCAAGAGCTTTAAATTATTCAATGTTGCTTTACAAAATTTTATAAAGCACAGAAAAAATGTGATCTTTAAAGTAATGAATATTGAGGAATTTAGACTTAAAGTTTTAGTAGTTGGCTAAAATTTTAGTGTTGGACTTCAAAAAAAATAGTAAAACTAAGGATATTAGAATTAAAGACTTAAGTTAATTAAAATTTATCAAAATACTTATATCTTATTTACAAATAATTATAAAATTTATATTCATAAATTCTAAGTTTGGTTATTTTTGCGATTAATGTTCAGTATAATCAAACTAAATAGTATTAATTTTTCAAAATTTAAAACCAAATCAAATCAAATATTATTTTTTAATAGATTTGATTGAAATTGCAGTTCAATTTGATTTTATAATCCGTGAAGAAAAGTGAATACTTAAGGTTAAATGGCTAAAACGTTGCCTTCTCCACATAATTGTTGGATGTAACTGCCGGAGTTCAACTTATTGAACTTGAAACAAATAGGAATAAGAAATACTTCTTTGTTCAAATTATAAATATGTTTATTTCAATTTTTATATTTAGTTAAACATTGTGATTTCTCTTCTCATTTTATTTCTCATTTGCATTGAAAACCGTTTTAAAACATCGAACCCTACCAAATTGAAGTTGAAAATCAAACCAAAATAGTTTGGTTCGATATTTGATGCACACTTTTCCAAATTCGAACTAAAATTTGATACAATCAAACCAAAGAATCGACACTCATACTACTAACCCATATTATTACAAGTCAAATATGGGCTATGCCCAATTTTTACCTACTTCAAAATATCACTCTCCATCCAGTTAAAATATGGGTGGATTTGGCGTATAACTGTAGTCTCATTTTACCAGCACTAAATGTGGGTGCATCAATATTATGGGACGGAAGGAACCTTATGGGGTGTAGAAGCACCTTAAACTTCTTGAATGGTGAGGAAAATATTACAAATGTACAAGAACTTGAAACTGTTGGATGGAATGAGATGTTTATCAAGCAGATGGAGAGGTTCTCTATCAAGCAATTGTACAAAACTCTGAGGGGAGAGTATCAGAAGGTAGAGTGGAGAAGATTAATCTTCATTAGTGTTGCATGCCCAAAGTAGAATTTTATACTATACTAAGCACTAGGAAAGAGGCTACTCACAAGAGATCAACTGAGGGTGCGTAGAAGTGGTTCAGTGTGTGTCTTGTGAAGCAGAAGACGAAAGCCATAACCATTTGGTCTTTCAGTGTATGTTGACAGCCCAGGATAGGCAAACGATATTAATCTGGCTAAGTATACATAGAGAGGCTCCAGGATGGGATGAGGAAGTGATGTGGGCAAATACTCATTACAAAGGCAAACAAGCAAGAGCAAAGGAGTATAGGATGGGCTGTGGCTGCAAGTGTTTGTGTTGTATGGCAGGAGAAGAATCAACGTATCTTCAAGCAAACAATCAGATCTCTAATCCCTGAATGCATATCCTGTTTAGTGTAAGGCAGTTGTTTGAATGATGTTGCTAACCATAGTGAGACTTGATAGTTAATTGATGCAAGTCAGGGGGCTGTCCAGCTTGCTTTTCTGTTTTGTAATTCCTACTCGGTAATAAAATCATTTATTTACCAAAAAAAAAAGAATTGCCAACATGAGCACTAGCAGCAAGTTCAAAGAGGTTTTGCTAAACCCCCAAAGAAATTGTGTTCGCAGCATAACCATTATTGTCAGTTGGTTGGGAGCAATGCTCCCTTCACTGTCCCAAGCTAAGAAACTTCCCACAGGTAGCGCAGTAGAAAAGCAACAGTGTAGAGAAGTCTGCTTCCGAATTATACAAGACACTAAGCACACCCCTTTATGGATATCTGAATTGAGCTCATGCAGGTGACTTCGAAGGAATTTATTGTACATTTTCAACATCGGTCTCTTTCTTCATGCAAGTCTACTAGTTGATCAAGAAAGCCCCATAAACTTTGTTGTGTTGTTGCAATGCCCTGCTTGTACACACATTAAGTTATCATCTGTGTCATACGAAAGTTGCTCGCAAACAAAATAGACAATTGATGCTAGTTTCTGAAAGGTGGCTGTCTTTTCGGTCAGTCAATGTCACTATCGCTGTCAGATATGTATCTCCGAGTGTCAGAGGCCTGGTACTTCGGAGTTGAGTAATCCATACCAATGTTGTTTGCTTCACTCATAGGTGCAAATGCTGTGAATTGGCCACAAGAAAATAAAATATCAGTACTTAAGAAGTAAGCAGTAGGTCAAATATATCAGTAGATTCATTCCCTTTGTAGTGCATTTGAGATAAGGGACGTTGTTGTTCATACATAAATCTATCAACTTCTTCACATGTAATAAACAGAGTGCCAGTAATAAATAGAGATGGCAAACAAGCAAACACCTGTATCACTCAAGTCAGAGCAGGGAGACGATATAAACGAACCAATGCTAATTGGTAGATATTCAAAACAAAGGCTACCAGAAAATACAATACTAAGTAAATGTACCCCCAATAACTTTCAAGAAGAGAAGGGATGAGAAAGAATAAGTAAAAGAAAAGAACACCAGGCTGTGCTAAAAAATAAAACAAAATGGTGTTGTCAAATTTTACTAACAGGAAACAATTGGAACCAAATTGAAGGGGAAGGTAGATTTGATATTGATGCCTACAGAGTTCCCACCAAAAAAAAAAAGAGAAGACAGTACAGTACCAGGTTATAAGTACATCAACGTAGGACCCAACATGCAAAAAGAGGACAAGTTACATGTAAGTTCTCTCAATAAGTAATGTTTTTTCTCTGCTATAACTTTTCAATTTCTCCAGAAAACAGTCAACAAATATAGTGTATCCAGAGAAGAATGCTGGACTAACCTTTTTCTCTCATTCTTCTCTCTCTGTCGTACTCAAATTTATCACGGATTAGGCTAACCTTTTCCCAGTTATCACCTTGTCTGTTTCTCCCTGTAACTCCTCCTTGTTCCTGCAATTGAATGGAAGGCCAGGTGGAAGGGCAATCAATAAACTAATGGACATGGAGAGAGTTAAAAAATGATCTTGCACATTGCAGCTTGGGCAGCCATGTCAAAGACATTTTTCAAGCAATGTCACAAATCATATATGAGCCACTAATTTAAAAAGAAAAAAGAATAACATGAAAGTGAAGAAAATAAAGACATAAAAAGAAAAAGTAAAGGGAGCGTGCAGCCAGGAAACTTGATAAAAAATTTAAGCAACTTAGCTATTTAGCATTCTAAGTGAATCACTCCAAAATAAAGAACAAATCGTGCTAGAATACGAAATTGAGGTCTAAGTCGAACCAAAGAAAGATTACTTTTAAATTATTTACTGCTTGCCCTAAAAATGCATCATCTGAAAGCCAATCACTAAAAGCTGAAACATAAACTTATAAAAAGCTTAACCACCCACATATTATTACTATATATGTTTATAATAGAAGAGCGAATTTGAGGAACTTAGGGTCAATCGGTCAATTGACCGATTTTCCCTTCTCCTCAAATTCTCTATTTTATGACAACATAAAATAGAGAAAATATGAGAAGGAAAATTGATTCAGTATTTCTTCATTTATTTTCTTTTTTAGTATATTCTGCATTTAAGAATTACGGGGGAAATAGTATTATTATTTAATTGAGGGAGTACCTCTCAAAATTTGACACGTAGTACATAATTGGGATTGCGGGAGCAACATATATTATTTAAAAATTATGTTCAAAGTACTATAAATGTAATAAATTACAGTAACTAACAACTTAACATATTTGAAAAAACATTATAATGTGATTGACTCTTGAAATTTCACATATGCCACATACATTGAGACAGAGTGAACAATTATATATATATTTCAAATAGGGAGTAATATATATTATTGAGAATGTTGAGGAGCTTAGGGTCAGCCGGTGAATTGACCAATTTGCCCTTCTCCTTCAACTTCCTCTATTTACATTTAGTATTTTATCCGTTTTAATTTATTTGTCTTATTTTCATACAATAAACTAACAATATGGTGTCAGCTTGCAGATCACAACTGTCTAAGGATAAGATCTTATTTACGTGGCAATTGAACCTAATCTAAAGGATGTATATAGAATTAATCCAGATTATACCAATGTTGATCATCCACAAAACAATAATTTCCAGTGACTTAAAATTCAAAATACTAACTTAAGCATGATGAATGAAATCAGATTAACGGGACAACAAATTGGCAATTTCAGAACCCAGAGAATGGGGTCATTTCAACACCAATAACATAATGTGGGAACGTGGAGTATTTCAAGGAAGGTGCTGCTCTGAGGTATTTGTGTGTGGTTTATTTATTTAGTGTGCATACTTGATGGGTGTTTGAGAAGAAAGAATTCATATCAAATATACAAATATTATAAAAGATAAGTATTAATCTATGGATCGATTTGTAAGTATCATTGCTATTTTTTTCTGGTAAAGTTGGAGAACAAGAACAAGACACTGGGTGGCATGGAAACAATTGTGTCTCAGTCTCCCCACATCTGAAGGTGGAGGTGGCTTTAGATCTATGAAAGACTTTTGCAAGGTTTACTCTGCAAAAATGTGGACTTTCAGAATTGAGAATTCCGTTTGAATCAGTTTCTATTGTAATAGGATATATCCTGTTGCAAAGATTTGGAGATATGAGGTTCCTAATTATACTCCGGGAGATAACCTCATGTAGTTTCCAATTATGCTCCAGATGTTCTTTTTGTGAATGTGAGCTAGAGACAATAAAACATCTCTATCTACATTGTCGAGAGACAGTATTGTGGTATATTTTCATCAACCAAAGGGGCATTAGCTGGGCTATGCCAAGAAACATAAAGGAAGCTTTAGCTTGCTGGAACAGGGATGGGAATCAGCCAGAGCACTGGGAGAGATGAAACATTGTCCCAGCTTGCATACCTATAGTGTATTCCTTTGTTTAAAATACACGTTACCTTTATCATAAAAGATTTGGAGATATGGGCAGTCCCCATATTTGGAGAAGAATGATGTAGAGTAGAGATGAGATGGAATTTTTCATCCTGTGGAACGTTGAAAATGGCGAAGCCTCCATTTGGTGGAATAACTGGACTGGTATGGGAGCATACCACCAGCCAGATTAACTAATATCAGACCTATTCCAAGAAGTATCAAATTAAAAAAAAAAATTATAGTCGATGGTAAATGGAGATGGAATAAGTTGAGCCTCTTCTTGCCTGCTTATAGTGTCCAAAGAGTTTTAAGTGTAGAGATTGAAGTTGGCAAGAAAGATTGGGCTTGTTGGACCTTGGAGAGTTCTGGCAGTTCACTACAAAGTCTGCATGGAAAAAATTGTGAAGAGTTCACGATGAAATTTTATCTGGTAATCTAACGTGGCATTGAAGATCACCTTCTAAAATTTCCTTTTTTTATGTTGAGGCTTTTTCATGGAGGAGTAGCAACTGATGACACAGTTCAAAAGGAGGGGTGTGGTGCTTTATTCAAGGTGCAACTGTTGTACCAACTATGAACTGAAGAACATCCCCCATTTGTTTGGTAAAAGCATAATTGCTAAATGGGTATGGACTTACTTCAGCAACACTTGTTGTATCAATTTTCTTCCGGGTCCTCTTAAGACAATTGTTATGAAATGGTGGCTGACTAAAACAACAAATGACATTAAGTACTTTTACAGTGTGTTCCAATTCTTGTCTGTTGGGAAATTTGCAAGAAGAGGTGTTTGTCAATATTTGAGAATATGAATATGTCTGACAGGTTCGTTATTCATCAGGTCTGTTCACTACATGAGTCTCATCTTCCAAACACGATTCCCTGAACTTCAACTTCCCATAAGTTGGGAGGAAAATGTGTTCACTTGGAAAATTTGCACCAATCCATCAATAGTCAACTGGTGAATGGCATAAACCAGAAGGAAGAGTGGGTGGAAATACATGTGGATGGATGCTCAAAAGGCAACCCTGGGAGTGCTGGAGGCGGTGGTGTCATTAGAGATCATCGTAAAATAGTCATTAAAGGTTTTATTGATTACTGTAGAATGTGTTCCAGCATTATTGCTGAGGCTACAACTCTTTTACAAGGAATCAAGTAGTGTATTGATATTGGAAAGGGGTTTGTTGTTGTGGTAACGGACTCTCTACTAATAACGGAGATTATCAATAAGAGTTGAAACACCTTTGGCATACTAGAAGCATTATTGAACATATTTGGAGGTTGGCTAGAAATGGCAACTTCCTTTTTGTTCATGTTTTTAGAGAGGGTAATACAGGTGAGGATCAGTAGGATCATATGGAGAAAGTGAATGCAAACTTACTGTCTAAAATGAGGTTCTTTCCTTGCCTGGTCTAGTTAGAGCTACAATGGAGTAAGATCAAGATGAAATTCAAACTTACGGTTCAAAGTTAACAAAGAAAAGTTTTAGAAGCCAATGATGTTGTCCAAAGAACCTCTTTTTGCTGGAAATATGATAGTGGTAGTTTACCTAACAACAATGTCCTAAAGTAATTCAGACGTAATTATGGTAGAAAAAAAGTTACAAATTTGTAGTACTTTTTCAGCTTGCATTATCCTTATTCCTTTGAGTGACTAATTTCACTCTTACTTTTATGATGGAGGTTAAGGTTCATGTCCTCCTCCATCTTCTCTTGTTTGATATATGAAATTGATTAGAATTATTCCTAACCTCCACCTAGTAAAGTGGATTTTTATTTTTATAAAATGAGCAATCATATGGGTGAGAAAACTTAGTGGAGATACAGAGGAGGTTCCAAATTCCAATAACTACTGGTTTACACCAAGGATCTACCTATATAATCTGAACTTGTTTACACTAACTACAGATGAGTTAATCAATAATATCTAGGGAGAGGATCCATGTTGCATGCTTGACGAAATTAGCAACTGTTGGAAGTTTGAACTATGCAGAAGTACTCTAGAGTGTAAAGGTTTCAGAGAAGCAGCGAATATTTACACCACAATTCTAGCTTTTGCCTGAAACATGAAGGTGAAGTGCGATAAAATAAAATTGACTGCCCAAATACAAGACCAATCAGATATCTAAACTCAGTTTTATGAGTAATAAAGGAATATTATTGATGTGAAACAAACCAGCATTAAGGAAATGTTGGGTCTAAAGAACATCCAAAAGAGAATTTCACAATGTGTGTAAACAGCTAAAAGAAGTCAACAATAGTTTCGGGCTCTAAAACATATCTCATAGTATTGTTGCGCCAGAGACTGAGCAAAAATAAATACTTGAAGTTTAGATTAACAAAAAACTCTTGAATTTCTTTCTCCATATGACCCTAGCAAAAAATTCCACAGTATTGTTTGCATACACCATTGGATTCTCAAATCGCTAAAAAGATATGCTAGTAAAAGGGAAGTCCTATGTAACAATCTTGGATCATCACTAGCTATAAGGGAGTGAATGTTGAGTCACTAATGCATAACCTATCCACAAGATGAACATTGTAAAAAGAAAAGTTGAGCTAAAATGTATGTTTGGACATGCTAGATTGGACAGGATTCAAATAATCATCTCTAATACACAATGCAACTAGCAGAAACAGAAGGTAAAATGAGAGAAAATAGCCTAAGACGGTTTGGTCATGTCTTACGTACCATCAGATGCACTAATTCCTAAGTTTGATAATTGATGACTGATAAAAAGGAGTGAATATATCTAAAAGCACATGGAGTGAAGTCGTCTTACAGAATGATATAAGAAGAAACTACCAGAAGCAATGCAGATTGCTCAAAGAAAGACAGTGAAAGCAAGGGATCAAGCTAGGAGTTGTAAGTGGTGACAGATAGAATGTAAAAGTATGGGATGGGATTGTGAGTGGTGACTGATTGAAAGTAAATGTACGAGATGGGATTGTAAGTGTTGACTGATAGAAAGTAAAAGTATGTGATGGGTCGTAAGAACAATCATTATAGTTAAGAATTTCTGATTTCAACCAATCAGTGATTACTCAAAACATATAATACTGGGGATGAACTTCGACTATAAATTGAAAGATCAACAAAATCTTTTGGATATCTCTGTTAGTATGGGATAACAATCAATAGGGCTTAAAACTCAAAGCTTTTGCAACTTATGACAAACTGGAACTTATCAAAAGGGCACAATAACTTTATCTTGCCAAAGGAGGCAGAAATGTACATATGGAAACATGTGCTATTAGAAAATATGTAAATGTGGTAATGCAGTAGAGGAATTTTATAGTTACCTTCATTTGGTCAGCATTAGGTCTACTTCTCCTGAAAGAACAAATACAGATCAATCTAGATACGCATAATGGCTTGATAGGTCACTCTTCTTAACAACACTATATTAGATCAAATGACATAATTAAGAAATGAGAAAGTGCTGAAAAGTGTAGTTCATGAAACAGTTAATGTCCTCCCAAAACTAATAACAACTGAGTGTATGATAAAAGAATGCAGAAAGGAAGAAATAAACTAACCTGTATGGAGAGAAATCTTCATCATCATCTTCAGCAGAATCATAGTTTGCATGATCTTGAGCAAGCTTTTTGGAATAACCCTCATCCCAATATAGCCTCTCCCAGTTCTCTCTCATCTCTTTATACAATTCCATATATCTTTTGCACCATGGTTCATGCTCCTTCAATTAATAAAGTTGTAAATAATCAAAATGAACCGCAAACATAATCCCAAAGTTTGAAGGAAAAAAGGACAGAATCTAACATTTTTACAAGCTGGAATATATCCAAGTCAAACAATAAGAAATGATAGTTGCAATCTGACGAAGCAGTATTTCAACATAGTTTGTATCCATAAGGAGATCAGTATGCTATGGTAGGAGTAATACTCTACATTAACAACCCGACTAAGTCTTTGTGGAATGACATAATAAAGACTATTAAACATCAACCAAGAACAGGTTCTCTAAAAAGAAATTGTTCCAATAGTGACGCAGTAAAATCTATGTTGCCCTTTGAAAATCGCTGCATCCTTGCCTCCAATTCATTCGCCCCACACTATACACTAGAATGAAATTTACCCTGTGCACACCCAACCAAAAGGGTAACCGCTGCGGTTGTCTCTTCATACAAAAAAAAAAACCTATGTTGGCCCTTTCCAAATCGATCCCATAAGAGATGCAACTAGCATAAAACAGATATTTTCCTGAGAAAAGGATATCTGAAATTGATCCCTAGCAATAGTAGAGGCAAAGTATGATAGGTACTAACAGATTCTTTAAGGACTAGGCGAGTACGGCGCATGAACTGTTCGCGAAGCTGCTTACGACGCTTGTTAGGGATGTTCTGTCTTGAGATTACGAATCTCTCCCTGGGAGGTACATTTTCACCAATTTCGTGCATTTCCCCGTCAACAACCCACCAATCTGACTTGTCGTCGACTTTCTTCAACATTGCTGACGGAGAAAACTTGGACCTTTGCCGCCGATGTGGGGAAGAACTCCCGGCGGCATGAGCAGACTGGAATTGGAGACCAATAAATTGGAGGGAAGGGAGTGAACTATGAACTCGTCGAGCGATTGAAAGCATGATAGACTGTGGGATGACTGCTTGCTATTTCCCTTATGCCAATTGCTAAGTTAGCGGAGGGTTGAACTACTTCTCAAAGCATTTTTGGTCTTTTTAAATTTTCTTTTGTCAAACTAACACATACCTAATATGTGTTGGGTTCAATCTCATGTATTTCAACAATGTCATTTTTCTATAAAATCATTGAATCATTTATAATTTGTTTATTTTAAATATTATTGATTAATTTTAATTAATTTTTTTATTATAAATATTTTTAATTGTGTTTGTATAGTAATGATTTTGATTGAAGGAATGAAGACAAATTGTGTGTTAGTCTCATTTGTTTTCTAATGTGTTCAAATGACTTGACAATTATCTCAAAATTTTCACTATCAATCGGACTAATAAGTTCTGGAACAACATGTATATCCTCTATCAATACCCCCACATTAAATCTGGTTCTGCGGCAGCCAACAGTGTTTCAAAGGAAGAAATTATGGGTAATTCAATAGGAAAATAACCTAGTTAAGGTACCTCGGGGGAGAGGGGGGAATCCAACAAATTTAGGAATTTGTTTGTGTATTTGACCTTTTTCTTTTAATCCAAGTGCCCCACCATTAAGGCTGGCAGTGGTACCGGTACCGGGAGAACCGGACCGGTAATTATCGAAACCGGTACTGTGCGAACCGATAACGTTCCGGAACCGATATCAGACCGGTCCGTGAAATCGGTAAAAATAGTATTGTTCCGTCCCGGTCCGGAAGAGAACCGCTAGTATACCGGACCGGTAACCGGGACGGACCGGTAATTAAAAAAAATAATTTTTTTAATTGAATATAATTTTTATTATAATAATTAAGCAATTAAAAATTTAAATTTCAAACTTTAAAGTTATAAAATTTAAATTTCAAACTCTTAAATTTTGAAAATTTTAAATTAAAACTTTAAAGTTTGAATTTAAAATTTTCAAAATTTTAAATTTAAATTTTCAAACTTTAAATTCAACTTTTAAAGTTTGAAAATTTTAAATTCAAATTTTAAAGTTATAAAATTTAAATTTC